TTGAAGCTAGAGAGGTGAGCAGAGTAAGTCTGATTCCCTGTAAGGACTTTTCTGTTGACATCCACCCCTTGGCAGTCATATGAACTAATGCGGTTGTGAGCGCCGTAAAACCTCTACTAAAAAAAAAAAAGAAAGTAGAACCAGTCTTAAAACACACTCAAACTTAACCTGAAGGATGATAAGTATATATATCTGTTTATTTCAAGAAATTCTAAACATCACACTCTGACTCAGAGAGATATATCAATTATATATTTTACATGTATGTTATTCAAATTATGCTTATACGTGTTATATAGTTCTAGAAAGTCGGGTTTTGGATAAACTGCGTTCCATTTGGGAATTTTGCAAAAGAATACAACGTTAAGGCTGACATGGTGAAGGTTGTTAGCATATCCCCCCCCCCCCCCCTTTAAAAAAAACCCACCCCAAAAAACAACATAAAACACACACGCAAACAAACATACAAAACAAAACAAGAATCTTTAGGATTAAGAAGAGTCTTTTGAGTTTTGAGCGTGGCGTCAAGGTGACCCACATGTGGACCAGATAGCAGCCTTGTCTGGCTCGTCAAAATAATGAAATCAAAGGCACCCGATTTTTTTCCTTTCATTGGGCGATTTTTACAATGTTTCCCTCTCAACACCGGTTATATCCATCTAAAACATATTCTATATCCAGCTTGTCGTGAAAAGAGTTGATCTGAGGCACAACAATTGTACATTGGCTGTTTCTGAGGACGCACAAGCTTTGGAAGTTCGTTTGGCAGCAATTTCCTTGCAAATTTCATCTCTGACACCAGGTGACCCCGCACCTCCTCCGATGGCAAATATCTCAACTTCTATTCAAGACAGATACGTTTGTTTTTGTTTGTTTTGGTTGGGTTTATTTTAAACCCAAAGCAAAATAAATGAACATGCTTTAAGATTATTAATCTATACATAACTCCATGAGTGAGGAGTACTGACAAAATGAGTTGCGGTACTTCTCAGACTTTAGCCCTATGGGCATACATGTAGGATCTATACGTCAAATCTATTGGTTGAGTTTGTACAATTTATTTGTATGAAGTGATAAAAGAAATGTTATGTTAAACTTGAAGAATATTGAGTGAGGAGTACTGACAAAATGAGTTACGGTACTTCTCAGACTTTAGCCCTATGGGGATACATGTAGGATCTATACGTCAAATGGTTGAGTTTGTACTCATCTGTTGAAAATCTACAAACTTATTTGACCCCTGTATAAATGTTTGTCCCCATGTCTCCATTCGGGAACTGCGAGAAGGAACTGGTTCAGGATGCTTCACCCGGTATATGTCCACAAACTGGCAAGCGCCTGACTCTCCCGCGTCCCGACACATTTCGCATGACGTGCTGACAAACAGAATTACTTCTCGGATTTCTGCCCGATTAACAAAGATAAATAGTTATGTCAAATTTGTAGTTTGAGTTCGTACAGTCTAGATATCTAGATCTTTTACGGTCCTGTACAGCCAAGGAAAATTTCCCTCTGGGATAATAAAGTACTATCTTATCTTATCTTATCTTATCTTATCTTATCTTATCTTATCTCATCTCATCTCATCTTATCTTATCTTATCTAGAATGGAATGATGTAAGACATGTTGAACTTGAAGACATTTTTAATGGTGTCAGCTGAAAATCTGTGTGACCCTAGTGTTGATTTTTGGCCAACATCTTGTGGATTGCGAGAAGTAACTCTTTTTTGTCAGCACACGATAATAATAATAATAATAATAGATAGCATTTGTAT